CTTTGAGTTCTACAGTCCAAGTAACTGATCTCAGTCTCTCACCCCTCCAGAGGGCAAGCTGCTACCATGTGGCTCAGAGCCCCCACAGCAAGTGTCATTGGTAGACTCTCTAAAGTGGTCCAAAGGCCCCAGGTAAAGAAGGGCACTCTTGTCAGGCATGGCAATCCGAGGGATTAGAGATTACCTCCAGAAACCGAAGACAAAGACAGAATTTCGAGCTGGGCAAACTAAATTTTCTTAATTTAGTTAATTTAGTGTCTGGTTTTATACTACCAGTTATTTTGGACCTCACTGGTTCTCCCGTAGAGGTCTGTGGAGTCCTGTGGACTTAGAGGAATTAATTTCTTAATGGCAAAAATGCCCTTTGACCTTTGGATCCCAGGGTCATGAGCTCTGGTGGCTATGGATCTTTCAACCATGAAGCCACCTCACTTCTCATGGTTACACCCTGTCACCTGGCCTGGCTGTGCCAGGATCTCACCATCCCCATTTCAACCAGGTCACTCAGCCCTGCATCAACATCTCCTAACTTTGTTAACAGAGGATACGAGAGGGTGCCCCAAAAGTGGACCCTGAGGGTGGGAGATCAAGGCGTGCCAAACATAAAGCTGGATCAAGGCCAGTTTGCTGATAAGGGAGACTTCTTTCATGACACCAAATTAATAACATTATTTTTAAATGAAGAAACAGTGTCCAAGCTTGCTGTGGAGACACAGGGAGGCAAGGTATGATGGGAGATGGCTGGGTTTTGGGGCAACTGGAGGGTGAGGCAGTGACCAGGTTGAAGAGACTTAGGAAGGCCAGCCAGCATCCTGCTTCTGCACTGCTAAAGCCTCTGAGTGTCTGGTTGGTGGTCCAGGGGAGTCCAGTTAGTGTTCAATGAGTCCAGTGAGTGTCCAGTGAGCCCGGCCCTCCGTCCCCAGCTCAGTATCCAAACCAGTGGTTCTCAGACATTTTTTGTTTCCTCTGTAAATGCATGTATGGACCTTGTTAAAATATAAGTTCCTGAAGAAAAAGGAATTCTCCTGCACTGCTGGTAGCAATGCAAACTAGTACAACCACTATGGAAAACTCTTTGGAGGTTCCTCAAACTGCTAAACATGGGGCTTCCATTAGTCCAAGCAATCCCATTCCTAGGTATCTACCCAAAGGACACAAAAACATTGATTCAAAAAGACATCTGCACCCCCATGTTTATTGCTGCTTTATTTATAATAGGAAAGACATGGAATCAACCCAAATGCCCAAAAGTAGATGATTGGAGTAACAATATGTGGTACATAAACGCAATGGAATATTACTCAGCAATCAAAAAAGATAAACACATGCCTTTTGCAGCAACATGGATGGAGCTGGAAGGGATCATGCTTAGTGAAATAAGCCAAAAAGAAAAAGAAAAATACTGGATGGTTCCACTCATAAAAGGAGCATACAGGGCCGGGGGGGAAAAATAATAATGAACAACTATATACTAGAGACTTTTATGGGGGTGGAGTGGGTAATGGAATCAAAAATGGGGGTAGGGGGAGTTCACAGGACTATGATGATGGACACGGTGAATTGGTGATGGGAAGCCCATAGGGGTTACCACTGAGATGGAAAAAGGCACAAAATCATGTAAAAATAAACTATTATAATAAAATAATAGCCACAGTAACCCAGGCAGTATGTGAGTTACTGTCACCCCTTGTGCTGAGAATAAGTCACAGGGCGGCCTGGGCTGGACTCTGCGCTATTAGCCCGATGTTGTGGAGGTGCCTGAGGGGCTGCAACAGTGGCCCCATTTCCACTGCTTCCCAGTGCATCTCTGCTCCTCAGTTAGACATCTCTGGTTCTTGGATTCAGTTGGTTTGCAGAAACTATCTTGGAATAAAATCCTTTGCAAACCCAGCAGAAGGAGGATCTGGCCAGCAGAGGGGCACAGAGGCTGTGTGGAAGATGGGGAGATGTTTCCAAGGAACAGAGTGCAGATTTAGTCAGTGTGTGTGCATGCATGTGTGTGTGTGTGAACGCATGTCTGTACTGAGGGGCAGGCAGGAGACCCCCAAATCAGGGATGACACTGGATCTCTGACTAACACCTGAAAGCTGAGGGAGCAATGTAAGGAGTAAGCCAGGGACAGTCACTGGAGGAGTGCCAGGTGGGAAACGGGCTCCCCACAATCTGTGGAGGAAGATCTGAGCCCTGAGCAACAGAGGGAGCCCACTGAGAAGGTGAGCTGAGACAGCACTCCTGTTGGAGACAAGCTCCCCTGGCATGCACCCCAACCTGGCGGGCTCCGAGCACAAGCAGCAAGGGTGCTCTACCGGAGGGGTCCGGATGCTTGTGCCTCACTCCAAGTCTGCCCTCTCTAGCTCTGTGACAGAGAGAGCCAGTGTGCTCTTGTAGCCCTCCTTGTTCCTTCAGTTGGAAAGGAGGCAAATAAAGCATCAGCCTTTAGAGGCTTCCAGATAGTCTGCAAGACGTTTCTAGTAAAAGTGGATTTCCTTAGAAAGCACTAGAGCTCTGGTGGCCAGAAACACCACCCTATGCCTGCCCTGGATGTTCACAGAGAGAGGACACAAGTCCCTGGGTGGTGTCCAGGGCTGAGTCCTGACCCTCTGCTGCCACTCTCCTGGCCCACAGCATCTGCCCTATGGCACAGGCCCAGTCCAGAGGTGACCACACAGCAACTGGATTTCTGCAGAGCGATAGATCCAGGCTACAGGCCATAGGAACTGGGTTTGAATCCTGCTCTGCATTTTTGGGGTGTGCCCTTGGAAACCTGTCTAGGCTCATCAGCTCCAAGTCTGTAAACAGGGGTCATGGTTACCAGTGCATGGCGTTTTCTGAGGGTTAAAAGAGATGATGCATTCAAAGCTCTTAGCAAATCTCCTGGCATGTAGCAGCCTGTCTCTAATGGCAGGAGGCCTTAGCTAATGACAACTAATACAACTAATAAGTGACAAATCAGTTGAATAACCAGAGAGTCTGATTCCATATGCAAATCCCCAAATGATCCATTTCCTGAGATGGTCCCGTCCTCTCACCACCCAGAGAGCTCGGATCTAGGCTAAGACCCACAGAATAAGGTGGGGTAAGGCCCTTTCCGACTGGGGGTGATTATTATCTTGCTAGCAACGCCAGTCTGACAATGCACTGTGTGGAGTTTTTATATCCTAGTTGAGAACATAGAGCTCTGGAATAAAGGGATTATTGTGCTATTCCTCTTGGTGGTGTTTGATGTGGAGTCTCACTCTCTGACTTCAGTACAGAGGGAGCTGAAGGCCAACTCCCCTCTTTCCCAGCACCTTGGATTAGGCTCTTCAGCTCGACCGTGTTCCGTTTCTGCTCATCGCCCATGCAATCTGCCCTCTGGTAAATGCCACCCTAGGAGCCCACCTGTAGACATCCACACCTGGGAGCCCACCTGCAGCCTTCTCGCCGCCCCCAAGTCTTCAGATATGCGTTACCTCTTGGGCCCAGCCCAAACCACCCCTAATTCTTGACTTGACTCCACAGTCCGCGCCCCTTTCTGCCCTTGCCCACCCTCTCACTTTAGTCCGGGTCCTGGGGCCTGTGCTGGTTTCACTCTGTCTGCTCCTTTGTTTTGTTTCTCTGCACACGTCCTTGGAGTGAACACTTTAGTAGGATTTTCCCTCTTCTCCCTTATTTCTAATTTATATTTTTAAATTTTAAAGGTAATATTTTTCCTCGCATCATTACTAAACTGGCACAGTGGTTTCCCACTCAGGTGTGGTCACCATGTTCTCCACCACAGGCACAAGACTGTCTCTGATGGAGGGCTAGCTAGCAGGACAGAGCTGGGTGGGGGTGTGGGCTGAGGCAGGGGCCTGGAGGAGCGTTCCTGGGACGGTGAGAGGGCCTGAGCAGCAGCGGCAGGGGATGGTGCTGTCCTCAGTCACCACCTGCTGGAGCGCCACGCAGACATCCACACCTGGGGGGCCAGTAGGGGAGGAGCAGGACCCTGATGGCCTCCAAGAGCCTGGGAGCATATGCCCCGCTGTGGCAGACGGAGGCTGCGACCACGGCCGCTGGTGAGGTTTGTCCTCATCTAAGGTATCTGGGCTGGACATTGCCGCACCCCAAATTGGTCAAGGTCCACTGGGTCCTCACCCTGAACAACCACCACGAAAAGGCCCCTGGTGGCCAGCGGCTGGCATTTAGCTGTCATTGCTGAGGGTGAGTTCAGCAAGAAGTTGCCTCCCCTCCCCCACCACTGGGCTGCACAGCAGGCTACACCCCCAGTGCTGCACAGAGCCCACAGCACATCATGGAGATCGTGATTGTCAGGGTGCTGTGAGCCACCCCGACGTCTCTCACAGGGACGGCACCCTGCGTCCCGCGCCCCTGAGGAGGCCTACTTGAGCGGTGACAGTCTCACCTCAGCCCTAGGGACTTGGAGCCAGGGCCATGGGCAGGGAGCTGGTGTGGGCCTGGCTCCCCCCACCGCCCTCTGTGATCACAGCGTCCATCCACAAGGTGAAGAACTGCATTGCTGGCCCTGGCAGGAGCTTCCCCTGCCCTGAACATGGCCCTGGCAGGATGGCTGCGACCAGGGCCAGGGCAGGGACACAGGCCTGCAAGAAGGGACAGTGATCTGAGTCACAGAGGGACCCTGTGGCACAACCCAGTGCCCACAGGCATTGGCAACGCCTGTGCTGGCAACAAAGGTGGTTTCAGGTATCTCTGGTGGCACAAGATTTAAGTCTCAGCACTATGAAGCTGTTGGCAGCCACTGCAGCAAGAGTTTGGTCCCCGGCCAGGGAGCTATACACATAGCACAGAAGACCTCTCCTGTCTCACCTACCACTCCCCTCTGCAGTATATTTCAGATCTGTCTGGTCTGCTGCCCATTCTGTATGATGAATCCTCTCACCACCATCGCCACCCCTCTGGCCCACAACCCAACTCTTGTAAGCATAAATAAATAAATCTTTAAAAAAAAAAAAAAGTAGTTTCACTACAGAGGCAGCCAAAGAAAGACAGAAATGGGCCAGTTTCTAGTCAGAAGAGACACTTTATTGTTCTTTGGGGCCCTGGAGGCCTTGGGGAGGCGGGTCACTGGTTTCCCCCAGAGCAGGGCTCAGCTCCATGGCTCTGTTTGTGGTAGTCTGTGGTTAAATCCCCCAGCAAGGAGAGGAACTCAGAGAAGTCGATCTGGCCGTCGCTATTCTGGTCCTTCTTCTCGAAGACATTGGCCAGGTAGTCTGTGCCCTTTTTGTCCTGTGGAGAGACGCAGACAGGAGCCCCTGAGTCCCTTGGGGGTGCGGTGGGCGTGACTGGAGGCGGAGCCACAGCAGCTGCACCGGGCATCACTGTGGCAGTGACCGGGCGGGAGGGCACCGGTCACCACAGGCCCCAGGGGCTCCTTGGTGACATGTGGTGGGACGGGCGCCTCGCTGGTGGGTTCTGCCAGAGCTGTCCTGATGGACGTCCCCGCGATGGCCCGGTCCAGCCTGCCCTTCCCCGTACCCCACCGTCTGCCAGTTGTGCCGAGGCTCAATCTGGCCTGCCTCCGGCCATCTCCCCAGCCCTCACCTGTGTTCTCTCACCCTGCCAAGTCCCACGGGCCCTCACGTGCCCCCTGTTGCTCCTGGTGTCTGTGTCACAGCCCCCTGGGGCCCCTCAGCTGACCAGCTCAGGACAGTCCGTGGCCAGATGAAATCAGGCAGTGGGTAAATGCGGACAAGGACATGAACAGAGGAGTGTGCATCTCTCTCAGCTATGGGGTTTCTACTGCTATCGGGACATGGATGGAGCCTCTGGAGGCCAGGAGAGGAGAGCCTGGGACTGGTGACGGGGACCCCACCGTGCTGTTTGTAACCTTGGCTCACACCTCTCCATACCTTTTCACCCTTGGCCACATAACACCCATCTCCCCCCTTACTGCCTGGTAATCACCCAGGATAGGGATCATCCGGGGCCCTTGTTTAGAGAAGGAAACTGGGAATTCAGGGAGTGAAGTGACCGTCCAGGTCACCCAGCCGCTATGTCCTCAGCCAGAGCAGGACCCCACACAGTGAGAGGCAGACCCCGACTCACACAGGCGGCCAGGAGGCTGGGGAAATTCTCCTTGAGCAGCTTGATCAGGCCTGGCTTGTCGATCGTGTCCTTCTGTCCACTGTATTTGTGAAACAGGTCGATGGTGCCCAAGATGGCCTTCTCGGCGGGAGTGCTGCCCATGGTGGCTGTCGAGAGCTGCCAGGAGAGACAGGACCTTTAACCCTCCCATGGCCCGGGGGTGCGGAGCACGGGTAAGCTGAGCAGACAATGACCTGTCCCTGCGTTGCTGGGTCAGTGTCTCAGGGCGTCTATGTAGGACCCAGGTCAGGGAGCAGGGGAATGAGGGAGAGCAGCAGAGTCAAGGGGTTTGGGTGACAGGAGAGAGCAGAGATGGGGGGCAGCATCCTAACAGGGAAAATTGTGAGGTATGACCTCGAGGTCACACGGACAATTTGAGGGTCCCCCACATTTGAAGACATCAAATCCACCCTCTGATCTTCAGTGTCAGGGTAGAGGCCCCAGGCCCCTCAGTGTCCTCGCCATGCTGGGGCAGCAACCCGGGGCTCCCTGTGGGGACCGGCCTGGGCCCCACCACAGCAGGAAGCCCTGGTGCTGCACTGGGCTCTGGTGCTCCCGCAGGACCCAGTGGGGTCCTGGCCAGTGTGAGCCGGGACCAGCCTGTCCTGTGTCTGGAACTGCCTGGGCTGTCCCCCTGGGGAGGTCGGCCCCAGAGTGGTCAGAGGAGCCAAAAGGAGCAGTGGGTGTCCCCGGTCGCGTCATCTGCGGAGGACCTCAGCTGGGGACAGTCTCCAGCCTGTGAGGGGCCGGCTCAGACCCTCTCCCTGGCTGCTGTCCCTGCCCAGGCAGCAGAACCGCCGGCCCGACCCTCCCTGCAGAAAGGGCAGGAGCAGGCGCAGACTCACCAGAGCTGAGGAGAAGCGGCTGCAGGGATGCGGGTGAGATGTGGGGCTGGGCGAGCCGGGCCCTTTATAAGGCTCAGGCCGGCTCACCCCAGGCTGGGCGCCCTGGGGCGGGGTGCTGTCTGCTTCCTGTATTGCCCCACAGGGTGGGGACACACCTAGGAGGAGAGTCAGCTTCTGCCATCCTCTCCCAAATCTCCCAGGTAGCTCCCTTGAGGCTTGTCCTTCCTTGGTGACCTGCAGTGGGCGCCCAGGATGTGGCACCCAGGCAGGCAGGGGGCCTGGAAGACTGGGTCTCTGGGGTCAGGTGGAAGTGTCACTCAGGGAGGGGCAGTGGGTGGGCATCCCCCAGCCCCCAGTCCTGTCCTTACTGGGCTGAGGAACAGCAGCCCCATGTTCTGTGAGCCCTGAGTTCAGATTGGACACCTGCTGTCCTGTCTCCTCCTCCATCCTCTCTCTGTGGTGGGGTCCCACCCTCATTCGGGGGAAATGGTTGTGCAAGAGGTCAAGCAAACCCCCATGTTTATACAGCTAGTAGCCAACCCAGGGGCCAGGATCCTGGAAAATCCTGGCCAAACCTCCCATGAGCCCTCACCTCAAGCTCTTGGTTTGTAGTAGATTTTGTCTCTGGGAACTCCAGGCTCAGGGGCTAGGAGGTCACCTCACTGCTATCTTCTCATAGGGTCTTCCCTGGAGCCCTTCAGGGAGTCAGGGTTCATGCACCCCTAGACAAGGAGGGGACACAGAGCAGACGGTTGTGAGTTCTGCTCTGTCTCCAGCTTGTGAGGAGAACGAGAACTAATCCTGGCCTGACTTAGCTCCATACTTGAACTTGGCCTTGCAGCATCAAGAGCGCAAGGGACAATCCATAACCCGCTGTCTAGGTTCATGGTGGTGACTGCTGTGAAGCCGCTTGCTCAGGGCGTGGGGCCGGGTCCCTCCCTCCATGACTACTGTCTTCCTGTAAGTCCTCACTGTCCTTCCTCCTTCCTCCATGCAAAACAGTCAGGTGGGAGCGGGCGCTACCTGGGCTGTGTTGTGCTGTGCTGTGCTGTGCTGTGCTCCACCCTGGAGCAGAAATGCTGGCTCAGGAGAAGGAAAATAGGAACTGGGGTCAGGAGGAGCCTGGAGCCTCTGGGGATGGCTCCTCTGACTCACTGAGTAGGGAGAGGTGAGGACAAGAACTCAGAGCCATTCCGTTCTCTGGTCCCTTACAGCTTCCTCCCATTGTGAAGAAGCTGGGCCAGGCACTGGTGTCCCTGGACAGGCCCCACCCCGAGGGCTGAGCACTGGTCAGGCCCTCCCGCTTCACAGGCTCCAAGCTGCAGCCGGCCTCCCTGGCCCACTGCTGGCACATTCCTACCACCCCACCCCACTTCTTGCATTCATTTTTCCTTTCTCCCTCTACTGAAAGCCTCCATGAAGGATCAAGGAGAAACCTGGAGTGAGGCATCCTTGGTAGGGGAGCTAGATGACTAGTGGGGGACTGGGAGTTAGCAGGAGACAGACTTCAGCCACTAATGCTGCTGTGGCTTTTACATTTTGAATCATGTCAAAATACTCTGAGTCGATTTTTCCTTTTGCACTGGTTTTTTATTCTTTCTTGAAATTCACTAAACATAATGTGTTTAAAATGTTCATCATGGGGCCCTCCCTGGTGGCTCAATGGGTTAGGACGCAGCACTGCAAGCTCACAGCAGATGCTTCCATGCAAGTTCGATCCCCAGCCCTGGAAGTGACCCACATGGCGCGGCAGACCTCTCCTGACCTGCCCACTGCTCCCCTCAGCAGTGCACTTCATTGATCTGCCTGTTCTGCTCCCCACTCTGTCTCTGGTGAAGCCTCCTACTGCCCCTGCACCTCTGGCCTGTACCCCAGTTCTGTGGAGCACCCACATGTGTATACACTACCTTACATTCACAGCAACAGCCCAAATCTCTCCTCACCATGCCATTAGTCCTTGCTTCATCCAGTCCTTTTCCTCTTCCCGTCCTTTCTTGTAACCAGTACTTGGTCTCAGTATCCAAAAGGGTTTATTTGGTTTGTTTTGTTTAGTTTAGGTCAGTGTTTGTTTACTCTATATACCACATCAGAGTGAAATCTCTTGGTGTTTGCTTTACTTCACTATGCATAATTCCCTCCAAGTCCATTCACGTTGTTGCAAATGGTAGGATTTCTCTTTTTTAGCTTAGTAGAATATAAACCACATCTTCTTTATCTATTCCTCAGTTGAGGGACTCTTACACTGTTTCCAGTTCTTCACTATTATAAATAATGCCACAATAAACATGGAAATACATATATCTGTTCAAGTTAGTATTTTTGCATTTTAGGGGTAAATACCCAGATGTGAGACAACTGGATTGTATGGAATTTCTATTTCTACTTTTCGAGGATTCTCCATACTGGCTTCCATAATAGCTGCATCAACTTACATTCCCACGAACACTGTGCAATGTTCTCTTCTTTCCATCCTCTCCAACGTTTTATTCTCATCTTTTGGATAGTACCCATTCTCACAGGTGCGAGGTGATAGTTCATTGTTGTTTTGAATTGCATTTCTCTAGTTGTTTTTTTTTTAATATTTATTTACTTATGCCTACAGAACTTGGGTACAGGCCAGAGGTGAGGTGTAGTGGGTAAGAGGATTCACCAGAGACAGAGTGAGGAGCAGAACAGACAGATGGACGAAGTACACTGCTGAGGGGAGCAGCGGGTGGGTCAGGAGGGGTCTGCTGCGCCATGTGGGTCACCTCCCTGGCCAGGGATGGAATTCGTGATGCAGGGGCTTCTGAGGGCTTCATAATGCGGTGCTTTAACCGGTTGAACCACCAGGGAGAGCCCTAGTTTTTAATTTTTATGTTATAGTTTTTCTTTTCTGCTCTCAGTCTGTTTTCAGAAGCTGAGATTTCCATAATCTTCAGCTCCTGGTATTTAAACATTTAATCTGTCTCAAGTTCTCTCTTGTTTTACTTGTTTCCTTTCCTCTTCTCCATTCCCACTCCATTCCCCCAACAGAGAATATAATGTAAGATTAAAAGTTTTTTTTCTTTTAACCTGTTGCTTGCCAATATGCACATTTCTTAGTAAATATGAATGGTAATTTTCGTACATATGCTATTTAAGTTTTTAACTGATATATCAAACAAAAATGCCCAGCCCGATGAATCATCTCCAACACCATCACCCAGGTAAAGGATCAGAACATTGCAGCACCTCTTCCAGGCTGCCCTTTCTCTTTCTTTGAAAGGTAACTACCATCTCAGTCTTGATGGCAAGGTTCACTGTTTTCCTTAGAGTTTTGTCAGCTAAGTACACATCCCTATACACCATTTTTTGCCTTATTTCTAATTGTCCATATGGAAACACTTATGTGTCCGCCTTCCCTGTTGGACTGCCTACCACCAGAAGAGCAATAGGGAATCCTAAAGTGCCTTAGTCAAAAAGGCCTTTGGCACACTGGGATTATGTATTGAGGTCAAATCTGATTTGAACCATCTCTAAAGTTTGGGGTATTTGGAAACAAGATGACTTCTCTTTTACCTATCCAGGGATTAAGGAATAATAGCTAATAACAAGTGCTCCACCATTTATGGGCAAGCACAGTGTTAGTGATTTTATTTCCTCAGATAGAAATTATATAATTATTCCCCTGTGTGAGTCGGCCTCAGAGGAGGCCTGAACATTGAGCATTACATTAGAGGATGCAAAGGGGCAGGCCCGAGTCACTAGCCTGAACTGGAGTCACACCAGAGATGAAGACCCATGGAGAACAGGGTTCTGGATTAAAGACCAGGGCCTTCTGTGAGGCCCGAGCTGGCCTGGCGCGTCCAGTCAGGAGCCCTGGCTATGTGCACCAGCCTCCCAGAGCTTGTCTGCCCTGCCTGGCAATTCTCCCCAGAATCCCAGGGCCTGCCAGTGCCACTCTGCCCTAACTAACTCATTCTTAGCCTATCCCCATCACAGGCCCCACAGAGTCAGGGTAAAGTGATAGACTATGGTTAGAGCAGAGTTGGAGGGTTTGCTGAGCCCCAAGAACTGTGGATGTCTGGAAAGAAAGATTGTTTCTGTTCATCCATTCAGGCATTGAGGATTAATAGCTAAAAATAAAAGAAACACCATTTGTAAGCAATCTGAGCTAAGTCCTGCACTGATGGTTAAATTTCCTAAAGTGGAATTTACATCTTTCTTCTTTTTAGTATATTAGAATTTCTAATCTATTAGAATTTCTAATGCATGTGTGCATGTATGTAGTTATTTAATTCTACATATTACAATTATATATACTATATGTTAACTTTATATGTGATATATTAATATATGTAGTGATACATTGATATATGTAATGCATATTAATATATATAATTTTATATATAATGTTAACACATAACACATAATTACTGTATATGCAATTCAATGCTAAAATTCATCCTCTAAGCACTGTTTTGCTGCATCCCAAAATGTTAAGTTTTGATAAGGTGTATTTCATTTCCATTTAGTTCAAAACAGTTTATTGTCTCTTGAAACCTCTTTGACTCTCATGTCTTTATAAGTGCATTGTTTGATCTCTAAACTTTTGGGGTTTCCCAGCTACCTTTCTATTACTGATTTTTGTTTAGATTCCATTGTGATCTATAATATATATTATATAGTTTTTCTTCATTTAAATTGGTTGATATAAGTTTTATAGTCTGTCATATGGTCTATATTGGTAAATGCTCCATGTGAACTTGAGAAGAATGTGTATTCTGTTATTGTTGGATAAAGTAGCCTATAAAATTCAATAGATCAGTTGATTGATGATGTTATTCAGTTAACTATGACCTTATTGATTTTTCTGACTGCTCAATCTGTCCATTTTTTTTAAAAAGATTTATTTATTTTGTGCATACAGAACTGGGTTACAGGCCAGGGGCTCGGGGGTAGCGAGAGGCTTCACCAGAGACAGAGCAGGGAGCAGAACAGGCAGATCAATGAAGTATACTGCTGAGGGGAGCAGCGGGCGGGTCAGGAGAGGTCTGCCACGCCATGTGGTCACCTCCGGGGCA